GAATTTGTTCATCGCTTTCTAGGCTGCAGAACTATATACTCGGAGATGGGAGAGGTATCGGTAACAAGGTATGCAAACCGCGGCACCCCGCAAGGCGGTGTCCTCTCCCCACTCCTGTGGAATCTAACGGTGCCTACGCTGATGATCTGGCCCTGATGGCGGTAGGTAAGCACCCCCAAGTTCTATATGATCTGGTCCAAGGCGCCTTACGCGTTGTGGAAACCTGGCCCAAGGAATCTGGCCTTGGTGTCAATCCAGGGAAAACATTCATGGTTCTTTTCACAAAGAAAATTAAAACCGTCCAGGTGCAACTTCCTTCCCTGAGCGGTGTTACCCTGGCCCTCTCGGAGGAAGTTAGGTACCTGGGCGTTGTATTGGACAGAAAGCTAACTTGGCGGCGCAATGTTGAAGAGCGTTGCAAGAAGGCTATAACTGCCCTGTATGCCTGTAAATCAGCAATAGGAAAAAAGCGGGGCTTAAAGCCGCACATCGTGAACTGGATGTACACAGCAGTGGTGCGTCCCATTCTATTCTATGGCATCACGGTCTGGTGGCCATCCGTGGACAAACTTACAATCAAAAGCAGATTAACAAACGTTCAAAGGGTGGCGTGCATTATGATGGCGTTGCCCTCAACGCCGACTAAAGCCCTAGAGACTTTTCTCCATTTTCTACCTGTGGACCTATATGGCAAACTGCAGGCAAGTTGTAATGCTGTTAGATTAAACGCGCTGATCAAGTGGAGTGATACAAGATTTGGACACTCTAGAATTTTGGAAGATCTTCCAGGAAACTTCAGGCGCCTTGACTACACAGTCCCGCCTACTGGACTAAAGAATGACTTCCAAACAAGGATCCCCTCAAGAGGTGAGTGGGAGGAGGATTCTATCCTGATCTCTTATTCTGACTCAGCAGCCATCTACACCGATGGCTCCAAGCTAGATCTGAAGGTAGGAAGTGGGATATATTCGCAGGAACTCTCACTTAGCCTCAGTTTCCGTCTGCAAGATTACTGTAGCGTGTTTCAGGATGAACTAACAACAATCTACGAAGCTGCTAGATGGCTGATCGATTCTCCTACTAATTTGCATGCAGTAACTATTTTTTCTGATAGCCAGGCAGCTATCAAAGCACTTAATTGTGACAAATCCTCATCGAAGATTGTCATGGAATGTAGACGTATTCTAAATGAGCTGGGAAGGAGTCACTTTACTCGAGTTGTATGGGTACCAGGTCATAGGGACATACCGGGCAACTGTGTTGCGGACGAGCTAGCTCGGAAAGGAACCCTACTGCCTGCGATCAGTACCGCTCGTAATGCGGGTATTCCGCTATCATCCTGTAAACTTTGCCTGCAGAATAACTTTATCGAACGGGCAAATGTAAAATGGTCCGCAGAGCCCACGTGCATGATAGCGAGACACATCTGGCCTAGGTTAGATAAGCGTAGATCTCGCCCTCTCTTTCGTTTGGAGCGACCAATGCTCCGCCATGTTATCGGAATTCTCACCGGGCACTGCTTTATGGGAACCCACGCTGCCAGGATGGGTTTGCAGCTAAACGACTACTGTCGTAGCTGCCGCGATGAGGAGGAGATCGAGAGCGTGGAGCACTACCTGTGCCACTGTCCCGCCTTGGCAAGAGCCCGTCGACGCTCGCTCCTTCGCTATTCTTTCGAGTGTCTGGCTGAACTGGACTCGGCCAGTATCTACGATTTTGTGCGCTTTATCAGAGCTACAAATTGGTTCAATTTCTGAGGTAGGAGGAGGGACGTATGAGTCTCAAATATGGTATCACAATGGGCCCATGGAGGCCCAGGGCAGCCAGGATAACCTAACCTAACCTAACCAGGTAGCCAGTAAGATTTTTAAGTTCAAGGTATCTTTCGGAGTTCCTCCTTAAAAGTTATGAATCTCTTTGATTGTCTTATTCGCTTCGACTTCCGCCAGTGTGCAGCAATTCCCCGCTAGCTCCTAAGTAGGTCTGCAGTGTATCCTTTAGAAGTACCGCAAAAAGGCTCGGAACTATGCAAGCGCATTTGGGTTCCACTCTTTGCAAGACAGTCAGCCCTTTCGTTGCCTTCAAACCCTTCATGTCCCCGAACCCTCCACAGCGGTATGCTATTGTGGGCTCCCAGGTGCTTCAAGAGTTCACAAGCCTTGATGCCTTTTTAAAAGAGTCTAAGGCTTCTAACGCTTCGTGAATATATGACAAAATATTTATTCTGGCCTCATTTGCCTTCTACGATAAAATTCGCGAACACAGACTTCGATTGTGAAGACCTCCTCCCAGAATATGGTTGGGTACAAGCCCATTGGCAGACTTTCCTGGCATCTTGGTCCAAGTACGCCATAAAGTATATATGGATGTTCGTATTGTATATTGTCAATAATAAGGGTATACGTTTGTACTGAGGAATCATGTTTGCGGCCGCCGTTATACGAACGCACCGGTGAAATATTTTAGAGATACATATTTTCTATTTTTCTCAAATAACTATTACTCGTAGTCCCGAAACCTACCAAAATCCAATCAAGCCTACCAACCTAACAAATGGAAAAAAAATCGACCAGTTTTGGTAGGAAAAGCCCATGTTTGGCAACACTGAGAGTAACTCTTCCCAATCAAGCTTCAGAAGTAGGCTATTTAACATTAAAAAGTCGGAGGCTTTGTAGTTAAAAGAAGTAAATTAAGAGCTACAGAAACATGATGCATATCAGTAGGGGATATAGGTGAAAAGCATTCTTCAATCTTACTATTTATATTATCACTAACAAAAATAAGATCGAGAGTTCTCTCCAATTTATTAGCATAGCTATTTACTTGTATTAGATTAAGGCTTAAAAAACTATCGATGAGAAGAGACTCATGAATTTAGGTGACATTCATTGGCGTGAGACCATAAGTTGTGAATGCTTTTGACCAGCGTACATTAGATAAGTTAAAGTTACCAAGTACACATAGACGATTGTCTCCTATCTTATAAACTGGAGAAATGACATTGTCAGCATGCGCACGATACAAGTTATCATTGCTATTTGGTGGAATGTAGGAAACTACAAAAAACAGCGAGCCATGAGAAGGCAATCCACTCACGTAGACACACAGTTGATCCAGAAGAGTATCATTATTTTCCAGCATAAAAGAGTAGGAGCGTAGCTTTTGTTGCGCTGCGATGAGAACACCACCACCTCCAACAGAGCCCGTTTTGGCAGAGTCTCTGTCCTTCCTATAAACATTAAAAATTTTTGTGTCAAAAAACTCACTATCGAAGAAGTAATCCTTAAGTCAAGTCTCAACAACAACAATAACATCATAATCCATGTGTTGAATAAAACCGCGAACATGATTTAGTTCGAAGCCCTGAGGCATTTTGAAAGAAGACCTTCAATTCATTTGGAGTCCTAGTTTATGTTACGTTATCACATCTTAGCCCTCCTTTTTTTCTAAAAAACGAAAAGGGCGTAAGTTAACATTAGCTGGCCAAAGGGTCGGCGAAAGCAATTTGTCATAAAAAGCAATAGAGACGCCAAGCTTAAAATTAACATTTTTAGGAGTAACTGGCCGAGTTTGTTGTTTTATTAAAGCGTAGCATAACAGATGCTTTCTGTCTATTCCAGCATGCTTAACAACATAGTCTATTATGTTAACCGCAGTGACAGAAGGTAAGAATGATGAAAGATGTAGCCACTTTTTATGATTTAGCACTTGCAGATCTGAATTTTCGCTAAGTCCAACTACCCTGAGCTTTTTGCTAGGTGTTTTTTCTCAACATTAGTCGAAACACTGTTTGATTGTACATTAGAAGCATTACCAGCAGTCAGAGCGGGCTCCATCGTAGTAGTATATTGCCCAGAAGATCCGAATTCTGCTGCTTGTGAGTATGATGAAAAAGCGGGAGCATTGCCATTGACAGTAGACGTTGACGAAGAAGAGCGAGCATCATTACTAACAACAGCACATTTATCAACAGAAGTAGTTACTAGGTGCAGCAGTATTATGAAGTCGTAATGTAGTTGGCAGACATGAAGTAGGGCAAGAGTTAACACACGGCATCATAGTTGCACTCACTACATTTGTAACAACAGCAGAAAGAATAATGGAAGACGAAGATGAGTGAGCAGCATTACAAGCAGAATTATTAGCTCTACACTACGGGCTGGCACGAAGGCGTCTTATTCGCATTCACTGTATTAGTGACCACAGAAGAAACAACAGAAAGGCTGGAGGCAGTAGGTAGAGGTAGAGGTATTAACAGCAGAGCCGATGGAAACAGTTGAAGACAAAGGGCATAAAAGAGATTGATTAGCGACGTCAATCGATCTTATGTTGTTTACATTGGCTCGATTACATTGGATTACAAAACCGTCAACCGCGTAGCGAAGCTGTTTAGTTTCCTAAGTCAACATAGATAAATCAGCATTTTGATCTCTAACTTTAGATTGCATTGATCGAAATTCAGCATGAAAAGCATTCGATTTACAATGAGCTGCATCTTATCATCACGCAAAGCATTTACTACAGAGGTCAGCTGAGCATTTTCAGCTCTAAGAGAAGCTATTTCTTTGGCAATAGAATTTAAAGTTACGCGGTTTTGAGGCACGGTAGAAATTTGTAGTCTTTCTGGGAGCCAAGTTATAACAATTTTAAATCAAACTTCGAATCTGCTGTACGAGTTCTTACTCTGAAATCAGAAGAAAAATGCGCAAAAATGTCGAATGAAATTTCGAAGTTTAACTTCAGAATCGTTATAATTTGGCTCTCAAAGGACCTACAGACTTCTATTTTGGCTGAAATTGAAGTTCTTGAGTAGCACTTGCTGTTCGAGTGAAATAAAATTGTGTGAAGGATGCATCGCTGCATGCAAATCATAAAAAATGCAATATATAATGCATTTTTCAAATAGAGGGGTTAATTTTTTTAACCCCTTTTTAAAATGGAAGTGTTTAGTATAATAAAATATACAAGCAATTTTTTTGGAACAAATGCGTTGGATTTACCATGTTTTTTTTTCGAAGAACACTATTTCGGACCAATTTTTTTAAGGCTAAGGAGTAATTGTGGCTCAATGCTAATATTTTTCCGTGAAAGGAAATTACATTAGTTTCATATCAAAATGTTGCTTCTGTCGAAAGCGCTACGATTAATTCGCAAGGCGTGTTCAAAAGGCACACTGTGAGCCGTAGATACACGGGAACAAAATCTGCGGGCTTGCGATGAAGGGCTTTAAGCTTATTGCCACAGAAAATGCAGGTAAGACTCGAGCTTGCG